TACCCAGTCAAGCCTTCCCCCACCGACGCAAAATTCTAGCTACTTATTTGCCTGATTGACGGAGCTCTTGCGTAAGTTGGCAGAAAGCAAAAGGGTCCAGATCCTCATGGAACGAACGCGGTAAAAATGACTCATGTTATTTTTTAAATAAAAAAAAATACACATACACACACCTGCCGAAAGCTATTTCAATGCAAATGAAGTAGCTACTAAAAACTATTTCAATACAAATGAAGTAGCTAACTAAAGCTTGACATTCGTAAAATCGGAAGCGAAAGTAGCTGTTTGCTGCTGTCGCTTCAGTGAATGCCTTTTGTTTAGCCAAAAAGCTTTTGGCTCCCTGGAAAGTTTTCACAAGTGAGACTAAATTGGCTGGTAGCTGACATACGCATAAGGGTTCACAGATCGACGGCAGCTACTGATGTGCACTTAGTTTTATGGCTGTTTGGCCAAAAAATACTGGGGACTGGGGGGGCTTTGACGTACAAAACTAAAAAAGTACTTAGCTATAAACTTAACTTCCTCAAATCTGGACGGATCCACACTCCAGGAATCGCACGAAAATTCGGCTCGAGAGAATTTTGCAAACAGGACAATGGAACGAGAATCAATGAGCGGTATACTAATGGCGGAAGTTTCCATAAGAACTGACAGCGGATCGATGTATGTACCAATGTGAACACTTAATCACTCTCCACCTTTACATCTGACTAAAAATACTGCAAAATAATACCAAATATTTCCGAGAGCTCCAAAAAATTGTGCTCGGATGGAAGGGAAAATTCGCGCATTTTATAGAAAAATTACTCGAGTATGATTATGCAAAACATTTGGGAATTGGAACAGTACATTCTGCATTTTGTTTTACCATATTTCAGTGACTTTTCTCTCGCGAAAATTTGTTTACTTAACGATGCGACTGCGATTTTACATGAACTTTAGGATTTAGACAATGTGTGACTCAATTCAAATATAAAAACTATCAAAGCTATATCGACGCTCTTGTTAATAGCAAAATTTTAACGCAATTTTGTGTAAAACATACCTGAAGCCATACGTATGAGCCTCATATGGTTGTTAGTGTCGACATTTTTTAATGACTAGGATTCATTTTTTTACGGCAATTAAAGGAATCTGATTGGAGACGGTATAAACCCAGCCTCCTGGCTCATTCGGGGCAATATTGCGCATGTTAGATACTAGATGGCAGCACCGCTTCGCCAGAAATTTTCGCGAATGGATTAAAATGCGGAATTGCAGATCCGAAAATGTAAATAGCGACGCAAGGCAAACAAAGGACGGATACGCGCTGTGCAGAGACAAAAAAGGCCGCGGGGTCAAACGCAGCATCCGCGACTAAAGACTCGAACGGCATTTGAACGTACTTAAAAAGTTTCTGTTCCAACGCGCGGGATTATATCTAAACGAAGCAGGACTTGAAAGTTTCAGCGAAGCGAGTGAAAATGTCACTGATTTCTGAAAACACGAGACACCCACAAAGGACCTTTCGAAGGCTCGTAATCAAGTTGTAAGCGGTCGAGTCGTTGAACCAAAGAATGAAGTCCCACTGTTCGCTCTGCTTAAATTTCTTGCAAATTTTGCGAGACACTTCGGAGTACTAAAATACTATCCAGGAGAGGCTTGGGAGAGGGGGGTCGCCTTTGATATTCATCCATGGTTGTACTCATGGTCGTTTCTTCAACAGCTCCTTTTTTTTAGAAGGCCCCATGTGAATGATTTACGTTAAGACTGGGGGAGGTATGGAGAAGCCCTCAAAATAGCATCATAAAGAGGACAGTTTTTGCCAACCTCGAGGAGATTTCAGCATTGAAACTTTGGAAATCGATCTTTTCAAGGAGTTACGATGATTTGCCCCTGTAAAAAGTACAAAAATCGAAGGAGAAAATTCTATGACTTAAACGAGGTAGGTGTGAACACTTACAAAACTCGTGATATATTTTCTTCCGTATTTTGTATTTTTTGCAGAAGTAGATTACTGTGATCCCTTTCAAGGTCCCATTTACGAAGTTATAATGCTGAATTACACTCAAAGTTTGCGAAAATAGTATTTTAAGGTGCTATTTTGTGAGCTTCCTCAAACCTCCTGTCAATATAAACCATAAACGGAGAAAAAATACTTCGTGCGTGGGACCCGAAGTTTAGGTCATATGGATCTCTGAAGTTTTCGGATTGAGCATCCGAACACATTAGATCTAGCTGTCGAGGTTCGGATCACACATCTGAAACTTCAGTTCTTACACCTGAAGTACTTCGGTTTTCACATCCGAAAAACTTTGGTTCTCACATCTGAAGTACTTCAGATGTAAGAACTGAAGTTTCAGATGTGTGATCCGAACATTGACAGCTAGATCCAAAGTGTTCAGATGCTCAATCTGAAAACTTCAGAGGTCCATATGACCTAAACTTCGGGTCCCACGCACGAAGTATTTTTTCTCCGTGTATCAATGTAAACCATGCGGGGCGGCCTCCACTTTTTCAGAATTTTTAAAGTTTTAACCTCCCCTCGCCCTGGAAAATGTTACCTCTCACAGCTTCCACCCTCTCTTAGTTTCGGCTGAAATGAAGCCTAATCTTCAACTATATTCCTGGAAACTGCGTCCAAGTCAGAGGCATTCATCTAATCTACGAGCCCCTCTCAGGAAAACGATGCGCCCCGCGCGCCCATTCGGCAACCCTCGCTTCCCTCGGGTCGACTTTCCACGCTCCCCCCCCCCNATCAGCCCCGTCACGATCGAGTCGCGCGCGGTCGCGAAAAACCGACTCGACACGTAAACGACTCGATATTAAGTGCTCTCAATTTGAATCCTTCCCTTACTTACCTTTTCCCCCGCAATTGTCTTCGCCGGCTCAAACCATAATTGCGGCTCGAAATGACGTCCCCCCCCCCCCCCCCNGCCCCGTGAGTGCACAAAAGGCAAAGCAACTACTCTTAGCACCGAGGAGCGGAAAAAAGAAAAAAAAGAAGAAGAAAAAATCGACACCGAGGTAACGATGTTGACACGCGATCGGGAGTACGTCACGAACTTTATTCCGTTGCGGGGGACGGGGTGCGAGAGGGGGAGGAGGAGGGCCCAAGCCCCGCGTCAAACTCATGTCCTGCGTTGCTGCTCGCACACGGGTTCTCACCTTCCCGACTTAATTTCGGCGAGGGGAGCGATGATTTCGGCCGAGAGGCTGAAAATCGCGCGGCGCCTAAAGCTACAGGTTAACGGTACCGAAAATTCGCTTGAAACCGTGTTGCGGGAGGAAAATGGGGATTTTCATGACCGGCGGGCAACCGCGCAGCGCGCCCCGGCGGAATCAACAGGTGTTCCGATGGACAACGCGGTTTAACGTTTCGTCGTTCCAGCGTCGAGTACGCTGCCGAGCTGGGGGGAAAACAACGTATGAACATCGGGGGGCTGTCAAATTGGTTCTGATAATATAGGGCATTTTAGGGCAAACTCGGGATACTGTGGTTTCGAGTTTTACAGAGACTTAAACGCGCATTTTAATTTACTACCCCCAAAATTTTCAAACAAAAGTAATACGAAGTTCTCTCAAATTTAAAAATTTATCATAGGAAATTTGGCAACTTCTGAAAGCTCTTAGAGCGTTTCTTCCTTGCCTACGTTACATGGCAATGCGGCTCAGACCAACCGACGATTTTTATTGGTGTTTTCCGTGACGAAACTCTGCTTTTCAGCGACACCGACTCAGAGTGGGTGCTTTTATTACGAAATGAAATTTTTCACCTCATGTCCCCGTTTAGTATCCGACCGATTGTTCATAAATCACTTCTCTGTCGTGGGGAAACAAAACCGAAATATTTAGATCGGATTTGATTTTTGGTAGCTGAACGTGGTGTTCCGCTACCAAACCACGCACGCACGGCACCACTTAACGCGACTTAGATAGGTTGACTTGGTAAAGAGGTAATATCGTAATAACTTGACGTTGACGGGTATTAACTTTGACTCTGAACTACCGAGAACTATCTGAATCGTAATCTAGACCCCCGAAGTTTCATTCAGGCTTCTTATTGGTAATTCTGGATCTTCCCTTCTATGAGTAGAACTTTTTTAAGATATGTAGTTAGTAGTTGAGTGAAATTTGGGCCTCTACTAGAGAAATCCAAAAGGAAATCCCTCGATTTCAGTAGGGTAGGAGTGCAGGAACTTTCGGTTGGGACATTCTTCTTCTTTCGCGATTTGAGTCGAATACGTTCTATTAAAATCCGTTAGATTCGGCCAATAACGTACGAAAAATTCTCGACCAGCACAGTCAATTTTGGCTCATTTCCTCATAAAATTCGGACAGGAGCAGATTTTCCGAAATGCAGCTTTTCGCGGTGAGAAGCGTTCAAATTCTCGAAAAATAGAGGCGGACTGGCTCCAAATAATCAATCCGGGAGGGAGTCTTGCTGAAAAGAGGATTGTGTGGTTCCTTTTGGTGAGGGGAAGGACAGCCTCATAAAAAGCCCTGAGATGCTTTACGAGATTTCTTGATGAGAACAATGGGGACCCCAAATTTTGCCAAAATGAGCCTATGGGGGGGGGGGCGGCTCAGTCCGCTCCTGTCAAAAAAATTATGGTATTACTTAAACTATGATGCTCCCAAGCAACACCTGAGAAGCACCAAGTAAATACAGGCATGAGGATACCTTGCACGTTCTCCCACTTACAATGGACGAGGAATATTTTTCGAGTAAAAAGAGTTAATTTTGTGCGTCAATTTTGCGAGGAAGTTATATTGTTTCGTCCGGGAAATTACGAATTTTTCAAATTAGTCCGTACATCCTAAGAAGCTGGGGTGACTCCCCTCGGTGGAACTTCTTTCTGTGCCTCCCATACCCACCTCGGTAGAACTTCTTTCTGTGCCTCCCATATCCACCTTGCTCCCCTTGGCAATGCACCCTCCCGACGAAAAAATTCCTAGTTACCCCCATGAATTGACCCCTGGTTGGGCAGCGAGATGTGAGATGATGTCGAGGGACCTACCTGTTGACTGGGGGTCGACGACGGCGGCGGCGAGGGCTGGTACACGAGGGACGGGTGCGAGTAGGGGGTCACGTACTCGACTTTGTCCCCGACGAACATGGCCGTCTCGACGAGCTCCGGCATGGAGTTGGGGACGATGCCGGCGGCGGTGTCGTCGTTGAAGTACGAGAGCCCCAGGTGGGGCATGCCCCCCATCTCGTCCCCGGGTCCCTTCAGGCTGTTGCTCTCCGGGCCCATCTCGTCGGGCCGCATTTGTCTCTCCTGCTTGATCTGCCTCAAATTCCCGTTGAGCCGAACGTACTGGTCCAGCCCGATCTCCTGCAGGCTCTGCATTCTAGGACCCGAAATCTCACAAGCCCGGCGTCGAGCTGGGGGCTTTGTTCTTGCCTCTGGGCATTATCACCCCGACCGAACCTCACGTCACGAACTTAGGCACTTGGGAGTCGTTGGGCACTGAACTTGGGTGGACGACCAGGAACCTCACGGGAAACCGCCTTCCACGAGCACGAAAGGCACTGGCGAGTGTATCCCAATCACACGTGCACCGTTTCGACCACGCACTTCGGTGCGCTACCAAAACAACGCTACCGTACGGTGGCAAAAGGCACTTAAAGTACTGGCTCGGGGCTTTCAACGTTCACGACACCGGGGAACACAGCTCTGTCGATTCGGGGAAATTTCTACTTCGCGAGAGCTGAGAGGCACTGGGGTTGGACACTGACGAAAATTTCTAAAGCTCGACTTGGAGGAATAACACGCTTTCTGTAACCGACCGCGAAAATCCGTTGGAGTTCCGACGATGATCCGCACGATCCCGCGGGGAGGGGGTTGGGATCCTGCAAAACTGGTGAAATGCTCGTGGGACTAAACGAAAATACAAGCGTAAAAACCCCCGAAAATCCGGCGTTCCCTTGTCAACGAACGTCCGCAACGGTGCGGGCCTCACGGTGCGTGGCGAGCGCTCAACGGTGGATCACAAACTACCGCTCTTCGGATTCGCCCGCTGCTACCGCGGCCGCTCGCCGTGCCGCTCCCCCTCCAATGGAGCCCCCCCCCCCCCCCGTATCAACGGATATGTGGGGGTTGCGAGAGGAGCGGGGAGGGCCCCTACGACAACGCATGCAACGAGTACTCCCAACCGACAACGCAACCGAATGAACATGTACTTTTAGTCACACTGAACCAACCGACGTTAACTCTGACCTGTTCACTCCGCGATTGGTATTCCACAGATAGACGCCAAGAGCACAGTATCTCCCAACTTTTGAGACTTTTTTCTCATACTTTCGGAGATCTCCGACTTCCCAACCGTGCTGAGATATAACAGGATCCCTTTCAAGGAGCTTTGAGTAACGGACAAATGAGAGGGGTTCGAGGTTTCGTTTGTGACGAAACTTAAAATTATCAAAATTGAAACCAATAAAATTTATAATTGTACAGGTTGAGTGAATCAAGTTTACTGTTGATTATTTCAATTTATTTTACGGATTTTTATTAAAATGTGCATGTTTTATTTTATAAACCGATGTCTGGGCAAACAAAACCCATCAATAGAAATTCATTTTATCGAGGGAGAGACGAGGGAATGAGACTAACAGAAAAAGGATGATACTCAGCGAAAATAAACGTCAAATTTTGATTATACATTTTTTCAAAAGTTGTAAATCAGAAAATCTATGAAAGCCTAAAATTCGTTGACCAATCAGAGGGCGGCAATTAATTCTGTGGTAACAGGGTTGTGATGGCAATAATATATCTGCGTGGGTACTTGGTTATACGGGTGCTACGCTTGACGAGTCTCGTGCATCTCTGAAGAAGTGAGAAAAGCGAAGGTGCCTTCAATTTCGAACATGCAACACGCACATCCACGGGATACGAATAGTTGCATCAAGGCGCTTTAAGTCAACTCGCAATCAGTCGGGTCCCTGTAAGGGGTGAAAGCGACCGAATTTTGAATTTGCAACACGCACAATCAAGATACTGAATATGTAAGCAAAATTTAACACCTCTTCTACGTTTAGTAAGAACTTTTGAGGGGCAAAAAGGGTTGTCATTTATTAACATACCCTGATAATAGTTTTGATACTTATAAGTTTCGTTCAAAATCTCGCAAATAATTTGTCAGGAGTCGGCGAATTCACGGACTGGGTAACAAGGGGGGTGGCCTGTCCGCGAACGGGACAAGAAAGTTGCCCAGTCTCCGAACTGGGCAATTTCGCCAACGGGGTATAACACGTGTGCCTTTTAAAAACATTAAAAAGTTTAACGAAACGAAAAAAAAAAAAGAAAAAGAAAAAAAAACTACTATTTCCTTACTTGACGGTATAAGTAACAGAGCTTAATTTCCGTAAAATGCCGCGCATGACATTTTCATCCGAAGGATGCAATTTAACTACAGGCAGAAAATCCGATAAGAAATCCGTAAAAATTTGTACAGTGCTGACGACATCTTCTAAATGAATCAGTGAGAACGAAAACACACCAACTCGGTAACTCAAAAATGCTCAATTTTCATTATATAGGAGTCAGTTTTCATAAAGGTCAATGAAGTTAACGCATCTGTTCCAACTTGGACCTTTAAAGTGTCTTTGAGTACTTGTCTTTCGGCACCAAAGATCTTTTTCTTGTGCTCACTTCTTCAACTACAGCACAGTTTTGCGTGTGTCATGATTATTTTCATTTTTTCGAGTTTTTTTTTGTTTTCACCGATTCAAATTAGGGAAAAGAGACCAGATATGATAGAGGCATGACATTTTGCCGACGGAACTAAAAGGAAATCATAACTGCGGGTTGAGAACCTCAACTAACGACGAGTACACGGCGACGATAAATTTATTTAATTGATTCCCCCTCTGCGCCCGCGTTCATTTGGCCATTGCGGAAAAAAGGGGCGTCGTGCTTCGGGCGCTTAAATCACGGGCGCCGAGTTGGGAAGTCGACGCAGCGCGACAGCGCCGAGATGTAAAGTTGGGAGTTAAGTTTTAATAGCCCCCCCGATAATAGTCCAACTTCGGGAACACTTTTTCCAGTTGTAAAATACGATTATGAAGGTGTTCGTCGCCGGAGCTCGCTGATTCACTCTTTTGTTTCGGGTTTCGCCGACAGGATGCGCTCGCTGCAGGGTTGTAATTTTATGTGAAAAATAAAAACTTGAAAATTCACGAGAGCTGTTCCATGAAAATTCAGAAATCCATGAGATGTACTGAAAATTACTTGTTGAAATCGAATGCAAAAATTTCGGTATTTGTTTTTTGGTGTTTTAGAGTCCATGTTGCATACCCAGCCTCTGCATAGGTGTCTCCTTTCTTTTCATTTTCGGGAATATTTTTCCTAATTTTTGACTGCTAAATCTTAATCTCATAATTTTTCCAAATTCTGATCGAATCCTGATTTTTTGCGGAAAAAAAATTAAAATTTCTGCATAAGCGTAAAAAGATCCGATCGGACAGCCGACTTCTCAAATCCTGATTTTACGACCGATTTTTCCTCAAATCCTGATAGAATCGAGAAAATCCTGATGCTAGACACCCTGCTGATTTTTATCATCCTGATGAGAAATAAACCTAGGCGCTTCCTTGTGACTCCCAATTGTGCGCACGCATGAAAGGAAACTGGCAATTCAGGGGAGCATCATCGAGACACTCAGATCAGAATCATATTGAGTGGGCAACAGCAGACCCTACGCTGGCTGTAAATCAGAGTCCTGAGATATCTCATAAACACCAGTTTTTGGGTCTTTTTTCAAAATTAAGGGAATTGAATACACTCTGGCAACCTAGACCTGAATGACGGGAGCTCTTTGTTCGGGATCGATGGGGTCGCCCAAATGTAAAAAAAATAATCATCATCTCAAGGGATTGGGTTAGTCACGCGGGCATCTCACTCGAAAGAAAAATACGATACAAAGGAGCAGAAGAGATATCCTGGAAGGGTTGAAAAAAAAGACACGCCGTGGAGGCGAAAAGAAAGAGGCGGCATGCAAAAACGGTCGGGATTTCTCTTTCCCTCTCACCTCCCTGACTTTTTCATTCTTTAAAACGCGTTTCTCGTTCGATCAGGTTGAAGGGATGAAACGGTGATTTTGGATTTTCTGTTATTACAGAATAAACTGAGAAAATGAAAAATGAAGAGGACGAGAAAAAGAGAGAGAATTAGTAAGGGGGAAAGTAAAAACAGAAAAAATAGGTCAAGAGCGAGAGTGTGGAGACGGAAGGAAAAAAATACGCCGAGGAAAGGCGGTGGTGAGATTTGATACATTTTTGGAGATTAGAGCGTCATTTTTTACACGGCTTCGCGGGTCTTGCGCTTGCCAAAAATATTTCGTATATCGAGTTCGGAAAGCTAGTGTAAAATCTTTCGTACAAGTTTGTAGGCAAGCCAACGTAGTGCCTTTGTAAGAAAATAAATATACGAGAGAAAATACATTTACGCTCTTCCTACGATTTGATCCACCTTTGACCTAAATCACTCATCAGAGGAAAACGAGAGACAAATCCGATGCTTTTATGGGTGAGTCAGTGCCGAGAGCTAAAAGAGGCCTCTCAACACCTGTTGGAGCTCTACTGCAAAGTTAACGATAGTTTCAGTTTAAAGGTACGGAACCTGAAGAGCGCCGCGCTGTGGCGTTAAACGCGGGCAAAAAGCGCCGCAACAGCCGAGTCGAGGGCAAAAAGACGCTCAGATTTTGGTGCAATCAAGGAGCGGAATTTGCGGATTTTTTCCACTGCTCAAATTTGCTCTTTCAATAAAATCATTTTCGCGAATCGATACATTCCCACGGGATCATTTTGTCACTGCGTTTGACTAAACGCCTTCAATTTTCTCGAGTAGGCAATTTCTTGACCTAGAAGCACGTTGATTTGTATCCATTTCGCCGTGTATGCCGTCTCGCCGGTTGCTCGGATGTCAATATGCATTTTATGATAATACCAAGCTCCATGTTTGGGCACAAAGTGGACTTCCTGCTCTTTTCTAGAAAATTTGGTCAATTTCTATGCTTTCACTATACTCTTCGTTAATTCTTGGATTCATCAAGTTGCTTTTTCAATGAAATCATTTTGTTCGAGGATTAAAATTCTTTAACTCTCTACATCAACAATTGCAAGCGTAATTTGGATATGAAATATTTTTAGCGTTAATATCACCGGAAATGACGGAAACATGTAAACACGTTCACTCCCTGTATTCATCGGATGGACTAAAACTCCAAAGTATACTCAAGGCATTAAACCCCGAACTAGAGTGAGACTTAGTTTCATAGGGTGCACAGCCCTGATGTTTTATCACATTCAAGTTTCAAGCCTAGTTTCCAGTCTATTCAATGAAACTTCCTGACAATTCCCGGTGTTCCCGACCTGTGGACATCCTGCGTAAGCAAAAAAAAAAAGCACTATTTCTTCTCCTTACTCGTATTAAGTACGTAATTTAAAGGTGGTTGATTTTCTTAATTCTAATAATTTGAAGGATACCATAGCAGAGAGGGTTCCTGAGAAAATTGAAAATTTGATAATTTCGCGTGGGGTAAGTTTCGGTGACACTTTTAGCAAAGATTAGCACCACGCCTGACTTTTCATGACAGTTCCATTTTTGATAAGATTAAGAAAATTTTATTTAGAGGTTCGGTACTACTTTTGTGCCCAAACCTATTCGACCTACCTACCTATGCTGCCGTTCTATTTGAGTTCGGAAGTTCCGATTCGGTGACTAACAAATCGCGACGTTGGTGCGTGATTTTGGTGCCACCTCGCGAGGTGGTGCTTAAAAAGCTTCGACCTATCGAAAACCGACGGATCTGATTGGTCGAATCTGGTAACAACTATGTCCACTGGTGTTGGTGATTGCTGAGACAAAACGGGACCGAACTTCCCAAAGAGGTTCGGAACTTGAAATAAAGTTAGCTTAGACTCTGACAATTTCAAGATTTCCATACCTGCGGACTTTCCAAATAATCAGCATTAATCAGGCG